GCCCGCGGGCGCCGATCCCCGCCGCGCACTGCCCGCGCGCCCACCGCACTGCGTGCCCGCGACGCAGCGACCCCCGCGTGGGGTGCGGCGGGATCAGGACCGGCGCCTTCCTTGTCCCTGAGCCAGCTAACTTGCAAAGTTCAAAGTTCCTAGTGACCCGAGGGCCTTGGCATGATGTATTTCCCAGTGCTATTGGGGACGCACTCACGGTAAGGGAGAGATATAGGCGGGGCACCCCAAACCCCCTGCCCCCACCTCAGTGCTGGACGCAAGCCTGAAACCCGGCGATGAGAAAGGATATTTATTTGGTTATAGGGTAGCTTAGTTACTCAGCACTAATACCAGACAGCCACAGTGCACCATTAAATTTCAGGGCCTCAATCCAAACGTTTCCCAGTTACAAGAGATTTAAGATACTGTCTATGTCGAATACCATTAAATATGGTCTTTCTCCTTAAAATAGCTTTAAAAATCGAATCTTACTAAAAGCTGTTCTTTGGAATACTGATTGTTTTTTTTTTTGTTTGTTTGTTTGTTTGTTTGTTTTTCCAGTTAGTCCTTAGGATGTGGTAGGCAACGCTATCAGGTTAGGTCTTTTAGTTGTTAATAAAAAGATACTGCCCCTGTTTCATTCCAGTGATGCTGAGATGAACTGAAGAAAAAAGTGATGCGGGTCCTTTGGTTGCAAGCAAAAGAAAATCGTTTCTCTCGATTTAAACAAAAGGAAATTTAATAGAAGAGTATAGGGAGAGAGGGAGGCCTGCCTAAACAGCCAGGCAAGGATGTCCTCAGGAGGGAGGGCAACCTCAGAGGGCACAAAAGCAGTACAATGGGGTAATCAGGGCAGGGATGTCATGCCTGGATGTCCTCATTGCTCGAATAAATGAACCCCAATCTATGGCTTGTTATATGCATTCCCAATTCAGACACCGTTTTGCAGTTGTCCTAACGTGGCGCCTCAGCCTGTCAAGTGGGCTAGGGTAGGACACGTGCCTGCAGCACTGAATGAGATTTGGACAGCGAGAAGAAAAGGGGACACAGGTGGCTGGAAAGTACCTGCACAACAGGAAATAAGGTACCAAGTAAAATGAGTTGGGGAAGCCCATCCAACAGGGTCCCTAGAGCCATAGGGGATCGAAGACCCCTGAGTTCTTGCCCTAGTGACACTTCTTTTACTAGTGTTTGGTGGAGGTTGCAACACTTTTAATTTTTATTCTTTTATACTTACCACAAGTGTTTTGGAATGCCATAGTTTTTGTAGTTTGTTTCTGTGTACAATCAGCTTGTCCATGGGGGAAGACATAAAAGCTCAGAATAAACCTAATGTTACAAGCTTTTGTACAATCTGTATTTTGACAGGAGATTTAGAGAGAGTTGGAACTGAAACTAGACATATGTAAAATTATATCAGAATGGATAAGTACAGCCCAGTTCCTTATTCAGAGCAAATGCCTCTCATAGCAGACTTCTCCCATAGCAAGTGAGGCAGTTCAGGGTCATTCTTTCAGGCCAATATCAAGAGTTTCGGGGCTGGAGAGATGGCTCAGTAGAATAAGCACTTCCCTGGCAAGCGCAAGGATCCCCGTTCATCAGTTGTACTCCAAATTTTCTGATCAAGGAGATTATGGAGCCACAGAGCAATGTGATCAGTGATGTAGAGTGTGCCTAAGGAGAGTCACATGGAAGGAAAACATTCTCTCAGGCTTTCACAGAGAGCACATTGGCCAAGCAATAGCCGTGACTCATCCTCATGGCTGACAGAGGACCTGCAAACTGAGGTATAGGGTTACAGGATAAATCCTGAGGGTACTTGACTGACCTTATCAGATACAAAAGTTACATTTCTTGTTATATAGGTCTTGCTCTATCTTGGTCTTAAACATCCAACAGAAAAGTATAAAAACGAGGTATATAAAGTAAAGCCATATTAATATGATGAGCTGTAAAAGGCTCAAGTCAACAACTTCTGAGGATAACCCACTAATATTATAGACTGCTAGACAGTGTTGGATTGTTTTGCTGAATTCAAACACCTATAGTATTTAGATGCTAATAGAATACTCACCTCTGACAGGACTAAATAAAAAAAGGATACAAAGGAGAGATCATTTTATATTTGCATATACAGAATAGTTAGGATAGATATACAGCTACTTTCGCTTAATTCAATGAGAAGAAGGAGGTATACTAATAGTGTTTGGACAGGATATCTGTCTGCTTCTTGTACTGTGGATAACCACTAAGAAGATAACAATGTACAATGTATTGATTATCAAAACTGTCCTATTAGCTTTGAAACTGTCTCATTCATATTTGTTTCTCAATAAAATTAAAATTTTTTTAAAAGGATCTGAGTTGAAGATTTTCTATCATAGTAAGAAGTCACTGAGGTATATTTTTAATTTCTTTTTTTTTTGCAGAACCAGGGATTGAACTCAGACCCTTGTGCTTGCCAGGGAAGCGCTTATTCCACTGAGCCATCTCCCTGGACCCTTTAATTCCTATACTATAGTAATTATTATACTTCCAGAGAGAACAGTTCAGTATTAATCATCCCAAAATGAAAATTGATTTCTGGCAGATATTCTCCAGTTTTCAAGTGGAAAATACATGTAACTCTAGGTAATTTATTGAATAACCCCCCCCCCAAAGTAGGAAATGTTTAAATAACTCAGTTTATTCAACTAGCCATCGGTGTGTTTTGTAGCTTCTTCATTCTATTCAGTAGGAGCTAGGGTCAACCAAAGCTGATTGTTCCAAGGAAAAGCTTAATGTTAAAATGTTGGATATTTACATTTTCTCTGCCTCCTCCTGTGGTACCAAATGACATTATTATTTTCAGCCTAATTCATTCCAGTCAACTAGACATGTAATAGAAGCTTAGTAAAATTTACTGTAGTGAATAGAAAGCAATCCCTACCTATAAATATCTTCATTATATTACTAAATAGATTACTAAAGAGATACAGACAACATATAAAAAAAGACTCAGTTCTCATTAGGATAAAGCAATTTTAAAATCAGTTATACTTTTCTCAGGTATCCGATTGTTAAAGATGTAAAACCATGTAGCATCTAATACTAGACAGAAGGCGGGCAAACATGAGTGAATGAGAGTGCAAGTGAGTACAAACATTTTGTAGGACAGCTCGTCAGTATTTACATCTTTTGATCCACTAACTTGGCCTCTGAATATTAGGTTGACTTCAAACAGAGGTACAAAAATTTACACAAAAAGACTGCCGATGCAAGGGGGACACTGAATCTTTCTGCATTGCTGGTGGGAATGTAAATTACTGTAGCTGCTGTGGAAATTAGTATGAAAACTCCCTCCAAAACTATAAGTAGAGCTACTGTTTGATTCAGATAAGTCCATCTTTTTTCTTTTCTTTTTCTTTCTTTTCTTTTCTTTTTTTTTTTTTTTTCCAGAACTGGGGATTGAACTCAGGCCCTTGCACTTGCCATGGAAGCACTTATTCTCCTGAGCCATCTCCCTAGTCCCTTACTTTTCTTTCTTTTTCTTTTTTTTCCAGTCTTTGCTATATATCTGAAAGATTTAACATCAGCATGTGAAAGGGATACCTGCATACCAGCTTATTGTGGCACAACATTCAATAACCAAGATATGGAACCACCCTAAATGTCCATTGATGGATAAATCAATATGGAAAATATAGTACATGTACAGTATTATTCAACAATAAAAAAGAACAAAAATTTATCACTTGCAAAAATAATCACCATGCCAAGAAGCCCGACTCAGACAAATATAGAATATTTTCCCTAATACATATAAATAAGCTTTAAAAAATGAAAAGAAAGTAGAAGGAAGGCTTATTAAATAAAAGGAAAGGAATAAGGGTGAGGGGAAGGTAATAGGAAAAATATGCACTGCATGCACCAAAACCCACAAAAATGTGAAACTAGGGAGTAGGGTAGGCAAAGGAGGTGATGCGCAGGAACAACTAAAGTGTGTTGTGTACATGTGACAGATGTAAGTCTGTCAAAATCTTAGTAATGTCTGAAGGGAAGAATAAAAGGAGGGGAGAGTGACAGAGACAACACTGAATAAGACTTGTAGGAGCCAGTCAGGATATAAGAATATTAAGTAGCAATTTTTTTAACTTGAGTTTTACATAGTGAAGAAAACAAGTTGAGAACCAATGGGTACAATTTGATCTAGTTTGTGTAAAATATGAAGGGAGAGAAGGAGAGAGAGATGTGTGTGTAGCTGTGTTTTCCGTCTTACTGGATCAAGAGGAAATGAGGTCATCTCAAGGTATCCCACTCAGTCCCACTTACATAAAAATTCTGGGACTTTCTTTGCCACCACAATCATTTGACACTCTGTCACTCTCTGACCCAAAGAACTTACAGATCCTAGGCCATCAAATGCATCAGGATGTGTCCCCTTTCCTGCTGAACAGTTGATTGTGGCGGGACACAGAGCTGAGCTCCACTGAATGAAAACTCAGAGTCAGCAGGTGCTGTGGACAGAATGGTAGAGAGTGGTATCTCCAATACTAATCCTACTTGTGCGCCAGGGTTCTTCTTGACCAGGCCTCAGAGATCATGCTTCTTTATCAAGTTGTCACTATCTTCCTGAGAGGAGGCTAGGGCACTTGGCAACATGGCTGGGGCAGTTGAACACAACCTGCCGGCTGAAGAGGCCTGCTAATCACGAACACCGACCGACCATCAGCTCCTGAGATCAAGCCAGACCCTGTACTTGGTATCAATCTTGTGACGTGAGAACAGGCTGAACCTGGCATTTGCTATCCATCTTTCAGCATGAG